GGGGGGGGGGGGGGGGGGGGTACAGAGTTCAGCTCATGGCTCAGAGACCTCCACGCATGGCAGCTCTCCCTGACGGGACCGGCTGACCTGGCATGAATGAATAACTCCTTTTCCTGTGAAATTGCGACACACAGGCCGGACTCCACAGTTTTTTGGGTTGTTTTTTTTTTCTTCTGACTCTTCCAATGTTGGACTTCAATACCATGGATAAGGGTTCAAAACAGCCAGGTTACATTAACAGTTGATTCAGCGGCCTTTTTTTCAGACCTGATCTCAGGTTTTTAACAGAACATCTCTCAGGCATATTTCTTGATGTGTATGTACCTCAACCCAGAAGGAATATCCAGAAGTGGTCCATTTATATCCTATTGAGCAAAGGAGAGAGCCCAGATGCTGGACCTTAGCTGCGCAGCGTTAAAATGTTGGCAACCTCACTCACCAGCTGTGTGACCTTGGACATGCAATTTACCTACCCTCTGGACCCCACTTCCCACCTCTGTAAAAGGTGATACTACTAGAACCTAATTCTTGGTATTGTTTTGAGGATTCAATGGACTCAGACATGTAAACGCTGTTTTCAACACTGTCTGGCACATGGGGAGCCCTTTCTATGTAAGAGTTAGCTATCGTTAGAGACTGCAGAGTAAGAGGGAAAAGGAGAAAACGGTTGGGAATACTTTGGTCGGTAATCCGAATTCACCAACACCAACCTCTGTTTATTCTCTTTAGCGTCTCTTTTTATTTTGTATGAGAACAAAGCAAAACACAAATGTCTAAAAACACGTGAATACTAAAGTGAAAATAGCAGAACATTTGAATATTTGGCCTCCGCTAGAGATGACCAGAATTAGAATTATTCCTTCATTTGTGGGCCTGGTTCACTGTCCCAAGACCTGATTCTTTGATGTAGTCTATGTGTTGCCCAGCCAGCATCTACAACAGACGCCTTCCTGGCCGGTGTCCAATTGGCCCTGACAACACAACGTTACCATGGATGGCAATACCCCAACCTAGAAGAGCCCAGTGGGGATCACAGACATTAACGGACAATGTGGAGACAAGGTGGTTAAATTCCGTGCTGGAAAACATTTGGAGCCCACAGAAAGGGCACTTAACTCCAGCCATGAGGTTAGGTTATATAAAATTTGAGTTATCTCAATTTAAGCAGTGGTTTCTTACCCATGACTCCAAAAGCACCTGCAGCAAAAGAATAAATAGACACACTGGGCTTCACCAAAATTAAAAACGTTTGTGCTTCAAAGGGCATCATCAAGAAAGAGAAAAGACAACACAGAGTGGGAGAAATTATTTGCAAATCAGGTATCACGTTTAGTATCTTGACTAGTATGAAGCATATACAAAAATTTCAGGTGTCTACAAGACAATCCAGATTAGGATGTCTTTTAGGGAATCAAAAATGTTGAATGGTAGTTTAGAAGAGAAGATTAGGGCTTGAACTACTATATTTTGTATTTGTGCTATGGTAAAAGTAATGGGACTTAAGATTATCTTGTTCAAATTACAAGAGGCCTATAGAGCCTTCGTAGAGGACACAATAAATCCAAAGGTGACAAAAAATGCCAGCTGGATGCATGGACTATGTGGTGATCGGCACTCATTATTTGCTGCCTTGAAGTTGAATGTACTTTATTACTTTCAGATTATACAAATGTGTTATAGGTAACAGTTCTTTAAAATTTAATTCCACCCACTCAGTCATTTTAAGTACATTTAATGACCTTAAATGTACTAATATAATTTTTTATTTTTTTACCACACCAATATAAATATCATTTTAGATTTGATAGAAGTTACATAACAGACTTTTATACCAAGTGTATATACACTGTGATAAAACCACCACTCTGGCAAATGAAGCACACCGATGAAATTATATTGTGTGAATGTAATATCCTCTGAGCCAGGAAAGTACAGGAAGAGATGGGAAGGAACAAAACGCATAAAACACTAAACTACCGGTATGCACATATTGGGCTACCTGGAATTTAACCTACTGATTTTATTTTCTAAACTACCAGTGTTAGACTTTCTGTCAGGTCTCATGTTTTATTCACACCATTTCTCACAGATCTCTGAAAGCTAAGGCTTGCCTGTTCAGAACCAATCTGCCCCCTCTCCCAGCGGTTGACCTCTTGGCTTATTTTCCATGTTTTCAAACCCACCAATCTGTCCCATGAGCTGTAGAAGGTGGCAGATTCTGAGGCAGACAGGGGCAGAAAGGCATCTTCAACAGCACATGAGAAAGGCTTAGCCCCATTTCGGGAGAGGATCAGACTTGACAGAGCTTTGGAAATCCCCCCTGACCAAGCCCTGGAATCGGCTCTTTATTCTACCCTAATATTTTAAAATCATTTGTCCTTACACTGAATAACATTCATCTGCTTCTTTCCTCATCAAAACAACATTTCAAATTCTGGAATTTACCAAGACCAACAACTCCATACTTTGCATTGCACCGTGGGATTTACTCTCCAGTGCAGCTTCAACTTTTATATGGTTGAGTTGGTACATAACTATTGAATCTAACCTAATACTGCAAAATGAGAAAACAAAGGAAAAACGTAGAATTTTACACAAGTGGGAATGGCATATATTCTCTTGATACTATGGTAAATTATACCCAACTGATATCTCGTTGTTTTTTTAAAGCTTTTTATTTTTTTAATTATTATTATTTTTTTTTAATTTTTTTTTAATGTTTATTTATTTTTGAGACAGAGAGAGAGAGGCAGAGAGAGAGGGAGACACAGAATCTGAAACAGGCTCCAGGCTCTGAGCTGTCAGCACAGATCCCGACGCGGGGCTCGAACTCACGGACCGTGAGATCATGACCTGAGCCGAAGCCGGACGCTTAACTGACCAAGCCACCCAGGCGCCCCTTTTTAATTATTTTTTTAATGTTTATTTATTTTGGGGAGAGGCAGAGACAGAAGGAGACACAGAATCCAAAGCAGGCTCCAGGCTCTGCGCTGTCAGCACAGAGGCCAACACGGGGCTCGAACCCACGAACAGCGAGATCATGGCCTGAGCCAAAGTCAGACGCTCAACCAACTGAGCCCCAACCCAGGTGCCCCGACCGACACCTCGTTTTTATTCTGGTCATGCTGGACATCTAGCTGTACCTGGGTGAAATTTCATAGCACCCTGTTTTATTGCACTCAAGGATCTCAAGCTCTCGTCACTGGCCTGTGGAGATCCGCCCAGCCATTCTGAGACTTTCACAAAACTGGAAGGGCCAGGAGCCTGGGGCAACTCTTGCACACTGGGAACAGAAGCCATGAGACAAGGATCCACTCTTCCATGTCCTAGGCAGGCAATTCTGAGAAGCACTGTCCTCAGCGGGGCTCCAGTGGGATAGAGCCCTGGTCACCACCGCATTAGCCAGCTCAGTAACATTCGCCAGAATTGGCTTTTCCTCCTGTTTCATTCTCCCCAGTTCCCAACTCCTGTTCTTTGGTACCACTTTTCAAAATAAGCCACAAAAATCAGGCACAAAAGACCCTTGCATCAGGCTCTAATTTCTGGCAGACTAAAATAAAACTTTTATAGCCACATGATGTGCATACAAGCTAGGAAGATAAAAGACACGTAAGAAGAAAATTAAGAATGTGACACTAAGACCCACCGTTATTGAGCCGTAACTAGGGGCATATTTTAGGTGCATGGCCTTATTTGATGCTCAAAGCAGGTGGCCTAAGCTGTTAAGTGATGGAGTTGGGATTCAGGGCTAGGCAGTCAGACTCCAGAGTCCATGGTTTGATTACTAAGCTATACAAAGCAGCACCTGATGTGCCTCAGACAATAAGATTCTGGAAAAGAGTAGTCTGAGAAAGGAAGTAGCTTTGCATGGTCTGGAAAAACAGGCAGGACTTGAGAAGCATAGGTGGAGGGGCCCCAGTATGGGTGTACTATATTCCACTCGCCCTAACTAAAGTCATTCCATGCTGTGACACAAGTCCCAGCACAGATAATAATCAGCAGGTAGAATAAGTGTGTCCCTTCTTACTATGAATATCTACATATGCTACTAGAATGGCTTAGAGTCGCTCCAAAGGAAGGGTTGGCATTTGGATTGTGCTGGGTGGGAAAGAAGGAATCCTCAGGTTCTAGGAGGAGTGGATTAGAAGCAGAAATGAGGACAAAGTGAGGACAGCCCCTGGTGGATTGGCCTGATCAGAGGACAAAGGGAGCCCCCATAATGAGAATTAGCACATTGAGCTATCAGAGACAGAACTCGTTTCCTGCGGGAAGGACCCCTCCAGGGGTTTGCAAGGACAGGCCTCGTGTCCTGGAGGCTGTTGGTCAGATACAGTCACTTTCAGACATTATTGATGCTTTCCTTCATAGACTGTTTGGAAATGGTCCTCTATGAACTACGTTATCTATTGATCTGCAGAAGAAATAGCATTTGTCATGTTAGGGCCTAGTGAGTATAAAACTCTATCTTTGTTGAGTCTTGAGAGTGACAGAAGTAAGAAAATATTCAGCAACCTTAACCTTCAAATATATTTGATATTTGCAAGCATTTCATACCTTGGGAATGGTGGTCTACACCAATGGTCTGAGGTTTCCCCTTTGAGAGTTCATGTTTATTTTAGAACATGTTTAGTTTCTTGATTTAAGTGTTCTGTCTATCCTATTTTCCACTCCTATAGCCAGGGGAGGAGGCACAAAAGACTCAACAAGAAGATGATTCCCAGAGTCGCTCGAGAGTAAAGTTCCGTGATTCTGTACGAAAAATCAAGACTAAACCCCCGGTGAGAAAGCCTGTCTTTTTAAATCATGCCTGCTTTAAATCATGTGTTTTGTCGGTCTGTTTGTATTTTTCAAATATATCCAATGAGAGATGCCCATATATATAGCCCGACTCTTATTGCCGTGGAGTATGCAAGAGAAAAGCATGAGAACTGATTCTTACTTTTAAAATGCTTAAAAATCTAGGGGCGCTTGGGGGGCTCAGTCAGTGAAGCATCTGACTCCTGATCTTGGCTCAGGCCATGATCTCACAGTTCGTGAGTTCAAGCCCCAAATCGGGCTCTGTGCTGACACCGCAGAGCTGGCGTGGGATTTCTCTCTCTCTCTCTCTCTCTCCCTCTCTCTGCCCCTCCCCTGCTCACATGCATTCTCCCTCTCTCTCTCTCAAAAACAAATAAACTGTAAAAAATAATAAATAAATAAGTAAGTAAATAAATAAATAAATAAATAAATAAATAAATGCTTGAATCTAGCAGGAGAGATTAGAATACTGCCTGACTGGATGAAGAGGAGTACAGGGCAGGGCAGGAAATGTTAGCAGGAAGGTTATTTGTTCAGCTCTGCAGTTGTACCAGCTTTCATTATGGGGAAAAAAGGGGGTAGGAACTCAGGAGGAATCAAAACCGAAAAAGCACATTAAAAAAAAAAAAAAGTTAACAAACCCCTGAATTGCTCCTAATTAAACAAAACTATCTCAACAGTGGCCTATAAAATAGTGAATCTACTTTTTTCTTTTTTTTTTTTTTTTTTTTTTTTTTTTGGCATCTTAATCATCTTTTCAAAAGCTTTTACTGCTGTAAATAAGATATTGATATGCTTATTAGAATGTTCGCTAGTTTATTAAAGAAAAGTAACTCGTGAAAGTATTAGAGGAAGCCACCAACTGCCTGCTGCACTTGTTAAAGTTTGTGATGGGTCATCTTGGACCTTCGACAAAGGTAACACGTTTGGGATGCCTCCAATGTGCCCGGTACCATTAGCATCAAGCCGAGGTGAACCGTCCGGCACTCACCTCGGCTTACGCAATCTGAAGTTCTATTACTCGCTGTTTCTCCGTAGGTCCCACCTGGCTTCCCTTCTGCCGAAGAAGCCTATAACTTCTTCACTTTCAACTTTGATCCTGAACCGGAGGAATCAGAGGAAAAACCAAAAGCAAAAAATAGAGATGGAACTACCCAAGAGGAGGAGGAAGGAGAGGAAGAAGAGCCACCTGTGCAGGGAATCCACAAAACGGTATTTAATATTACGACGGTTATGAGGAGAGGGATGATGATGATGTTACTGACCACAATGGTGACACTGGTGATGGTGATGACATCTTCGCCAGGGAGTGGCTGAGGACAGACTTGTCACCACCACGCAGCTCATCCATGTCTTCATTGAAAGCAATGGGGATACGACATTGCCGTTACTTTCTGGAGCTGCTGATTTTACCCCACGGTTTGGGTAATAAGGACCTTGATTAAATCTGTCCATTTCTCTCTGGTGGAAAAAGAGAAAAGCCCAACCATGTGGCTTGCAGGTTCTTGTTACTAGATCCACACGGTGTTAGTATTCATTTCATATGCAAATTGTTCACCTCTCCAAGGCATATGACGCCTGCTCTCTCTTCCCACAACCTTACAGGTGATCAGTTTTTTGTGCCCCATTCCACACCCGAGCTACAACTCAGATTCTGTCATCGTGGGAGGTATATGTGAGGCGAAAGAAAACACACCATTAAAAAAAAAAATGGACAAAGGACTTGAATAGACATCTCTCCAAAGAAGATCTACAGATGGGCAATAAGTACATGAAAATATGTCTAACGTCACTAATCATTAGAGAACTGCAAATCTAAACCACAACGAGATACCATTTTACACAAATTAGAATGGCTATTATTTTTAAAAAATGAAAAGAACAAGTGTGGAGAAGGATGTTAAGAAACTAGACCCTTGTGCATTGCTGATGGTGACGTGAAATGGAGCAGCTGCTGTGAAAACAGCCTGGTTATTCCTCAAAAATTTAAACATGGAATTATTATGGTCCCACAGTTCCACTTCTGGGTTTAGACCCAAAAGAATAGGAAGCAGGCACTCAAACAGATACTTGGACACTTATGCTGATAGAAGCATTGTTCACAATAGCCAAAAGGTGAAGGCAACCCAAGTGTCCATCAACAGATGAATGGATGAACAAACTGTGGTGTAGACATACGATGGAAAAGTCTTCAGCATTAAAAGGGAAAGAAATTTAGGGTACCTGGTTGGCTCAGTCAGTAGAATGTGTGACTCTTGATCTCACAGTCGTGAGTTTGAGCATGATGTTGGACATAAGAAAGGAAGGAAGGAAGGAAGGAAGGAAGGAAGGACAGAAAGAAAAGGAGGAGGAAGAAATAAATAATGTTATAAATACAGCTGAAGGAAGAAGGAAGGAAGAAGAAAAGGGAGAAAAGAAAGAAGTTGTTGTTGTTGTTATTGTTAAAGAAAGAAAGAAAGAGGAAGGAAGGAAGGAAGGAAGGAAGGAAGGAAGGAAAAGATTTGGAGGCACCTGGGTGGTTTAGTGATTTAAGTGTTTGACTTCTGCCCAGGTCATGATCTCACAGTTCATGAGTTCGAGCCCCGCGTTGGGCTCTGTGCTAACAAAGCAGAGTCTGCTTCAGATCTTCTGTCTCCCTCTCTCTCTGCTCCTCCCTGCCCCCTCTCATAAATAAACAAACATTCAAAAAAAAGATTTAGTTTTTTAACAAAAAGATTTGGATATGCCAATTATATCTCAATAAAACTAAAAAAATTTTTTTTAATATGAAATTTATTGCTAAATTGGTTTCCATACAACACCCAGTGCTAATCCCAACAAGTGCCCTCCTCAATACCCCTCACCCACCCTCCCGTCCCTCCCATCCCCCATCAACCCTCAGTTTGTTCTCAGTTTTTAAGAGTCTCTTATTGTTTGGCTCACTCCCTCTCTAACCTCTTTTTTTCTTTTCCTTCCCCTCCCTCATGGTCTTCTGTTAAGTTTCTCAGGATCCACATAAGACAGAAAACGTATCTGTCTTTCTCTGTATGACTTATTTCACTTAGCATAACACTCTCCAGTTCCATCCACGTTGCTACAAAGGGCCATATTTCATTCTTTCTCATTGCCACGTAGTATTCCATTGTGTATATAAACCACAATTTCTTTATCCATTCATCAGCTGATGGACATTTAGGCTCTTTCCATAATTTGGCTATTGTTGAAAGTGCTGCTATAAACATTGGGGTATAAGTGCCCCTATGCATCAGCACTCCTGTATCCCTTGGGTAAATTCCTAGCAGTGCTATTGCTGGGTCATAGGGTAGATCTATTTTTAATTTTTTGAGGCACCTCCACACTGTTTTCCAGAGTGGCTGCACCAATTTGCATTCCCACCAACAGTGCAAGAGGGTTCCCGTTTCTCCACATCCTCTCCAGCATCTATAGTCTCCTGATTTGTTCATTTTAGCCATCTGACTGGCATGAGGTGATATCTCACTGTGGTTTTGATTTGTATTTCCCTGATGAGGAGCGACGTTGAGCATCTTTTCATGTGCCT